ATGGAAGGAGGAAGGTTTAAAAAACACCCAACAGCTTGACACAGGCATACATTCTTTCCCCAAAACTGAATGAATGAATGCAGCAAAGCCCTCTGCGCCACCAGAGCAGACGTCCAACAGTTCGGACTGTGACGCCGGAAGCTGCCCGCGAGCTGGAGAGGAACCACCAGCTTCTCCTGTCACCACTAAACAGTTACCACAAGCTACCTCACCACACCTGTAGTGGCATCACCCACGACACCTGTAGTGGCATCACCCACGACACCCAGCGCACAGACCCGTTGCAACCTCCTTCTGCGACCGGGGACATCAGAACATGTGGCTCCCCCCGGAAAGGGGGGCCAGGGCAAACGCGCTCGCGGCAAAAGGCTGCGGGACAGAGGCCGGGGAGGAAGGGCGGTGGCGAGAGGGGAAACACGTGTGCGCACTTGGCTCTCCGGAGAGCAGAGAGCACGGGCCACCGCGAGGCCAGCTGCTAACCCCTCCCCGCCCCCCACACACACCTGGGCTCTGTTACACCGTTTCCGACGCTAAGCTGTGGGTTACGCGCCCGCTCCGGAAGCCCCGGCCCGCCGCGTCTCCCCCCGCGTCGCCCTCAATTTCGCGATTCCGGCCACTGCTCGCGTCCTCGGTCATCCCCCGACCAGCGGATCCGCGCTCCCCCCGATCCCCCCAACCCCACCGGGGCCCTGGACACCCGCCGCAGGCCCCTCACGACCGCACGCCCCGCGATCCGTCGGCGCGAGGCCCGCACCGCCCATCGGACGCCCCGCCAGAGTCGGCCCCCCTCAGCCCCGGCGGCGGCGCCGCCGCCCCGGCCGTTTCCTCAACGGCTCGCCTCAACCGTCCGGAGGCCGCTCTCTCGCTCGCTCGCCCGTCCCCTGAGGCCCAGCCGACGCCGCAGCTCCACTCGCGCACCCCGCTGTCAGGGAAGTCCTCCCCGGCGCCCAGCTCAACCTGCCGCCTGAAGTAGGCCTCCGCGCGTAGTCCCGTTGCCGCTGCCGCTGCCGCCCAGCTTCGCGTCTCCTCAACTTAAGCGATCGCCGCGTCGCCTCACGCAGCCGAGGGAAGGCGGGAAGTGCCAGCCCAATCGGCGTCGCGTGCGGTTGGCGCCGCGTCCAATCAGCGCCGCCGGCCTGACAGGCCCCGCCCCTCACGCCGGCGCAAGCGCCGCCCGAGGCCGGAACCAGGGCCGCCGAGGTGGGCAAGGCTTAGGGCCTCAGGTAAGTGGGCCGGCCGCGCCCCGACACCGACCCCTGACCCCGCTCGGCCGGCGGCCGCGCCGCGAAGCACTCCCCGCACGGACGCGACGCCAGAGAAGGCGACAGTGTCCCTCCTCTGCCTGCAGGACTTGAGCCTGGAGGGCCGGAAGCGCCGGCGGCTCAAGAAGACTCCAGGGCTCCCGACAGCCACCCGCGAAGGCTGGAAGGGGCCGCAGTGACACGGGGGCACTCGGCGAACCCGCGGGGACACGATGGTCAGAGTGCCCTGAGACAGGCGCACGCTGCGGGCCAGCAGAGGGCAGCGTAACCACTCCGGGCCTGTCCCCGCTGAAAGCCGTGCTCCACCCCGCCCCGCCTTACGTTCCGGCCCCGCCCTGCCCCGCCCCTGCCAGGGTTTCCTAGAAGCCGGAGCTGCGAGTGACTGACTGCCCTCTCGTTAGCCTGAACCCCAGACCCCTGGGGCACGGAGCGCTGAGGCCATCTAGGCTTGGCACTGAGGGGACTCATCAACAGTGTATTCCCAGGCTTTTTAGAATGTTTCAATTTAAAGTATCAGTTTAAATGATAAAAGCAATGGATGCTTGTGGCGTAAACTATGCAAGCAACTCAGAAATTACAGCAGACAAGCACAAAAAATTAAAAGTGATTTCCCACCTTGCCACTTTTTAGTAGAGAGAAGAAAACTGTCAGAGCCCTTTTCATTATTAATTATTATACAATTCAACCTTATTTGAATTGTTTCTAAATAGGCTTTTAGATTATGATGTCAGATGGAAAATCTTATCACTCAATCCGAATGGGCTTTCAATTAAATGTAACAAGCTCTTACTGGGTACATCTTATCACATGGCAGAGAGAGATTGGGCTTTGGTGTGGGTTTGAATGCTAGCTTTGCTACTTACCAGCTGTAGGGCCCTAGGTGAGCTCCTTAAACCTCCCCGAGCTTCATTCATTTCAGCTGAAAAAGTGGGGAAATTATCTAGCAGGTAGTGCAATTTTCAGAATTAAATGAAATCAAATACATACAGCACCTAACATTTTAGGCAAGCAAATAAGAGAGGACACAATAAGTGTTAGTTTCCTTGCCCTGTGTTCAAAGCTTTGTAATTGAGTGAGAGTCACGATCGGGGTGCTGGGCGGGGGAAGGCAGATACACACTAGTTATTCCATATACAGGCTTCAGTAAGCACTAAGGAAGTCCAGTAACTGTCCCATCCCTTATGTCCCACTAGAGCTTTCTTCACATGTAATACTGACCTGGCATAAAAGGGTGTATTTCGGTTTCTCAAAGACATACACAACTGTGCTACTGAAGTTGAGGTGCCATCATACGATGCATTTATGTACTTATCTAGCCAAGATCCTAAATGTGACAGCATTTTAGGAAGGATAAGACTTATGTGTGAAATGACAATCAGCATGCTTCTAAAGCCTTGTTTCACAGTAATTAGACCACAAGAGAAACACACTTCAACTAACCACTTGTGCACATATACTTTAATATTTAGGCTTAGGTGAAGACACCTTAAATGGCAGGTATTAAAATATGTTTGGGAAGACAACCCAAGAATTGCACAATCCACAACAAAATTTGGACATCTAGGCCACATAACTGTGTTTTCAGGCCTGAAAATCTCCTTAAGCTGTTCCAAAGCTTCTTTATTAACTAGACAGGTATATTTAAGCTTTAAAACTTTTTAAACATTGATCTTTTTTCAAAGGCACATGGAGATTCTCTTAATATTAAAGATATATCATTTACTTCATATTCCGTGACCAGAACCTTTTTGGTAAGTGACCTTCACATGGATTATAAGATTCTCTACATGCCTTTACATAGCAATACATTTGCCAGCTCTATTTCATACCTGAATGCTGTGGACAACTGCCTTGCACGCTGGGCTGGGACCCAGGGCATAGCAGCTGAGGCCCTCACAGGCTTGCTGAACTAACTGGACAGTTTGTCAAATAGCAGGAAATGCAACCAGGCTTCTCTCCCTCTTGCATGTCAATGGTGTACACAGTGCTAACAGCCAACGATTGTTCAATTTAGTCACAATATTTTAAATCAAAGTTCCATATTCTTAGATCAGAAGGTACCAAAGAAAGCCACCCCTATTGATGGAATTTTAAAAACAACACAGTTGCAATTATAAAAAAGAAATTGGTTAAAAGGCAAAATGTGTCCTTTACATATTTATTTGACAAATGGCAACAAGCATTCAAAAATTTAGAGTCAGTGCATTGGTGACAGCTATCACAAAATTGATTACACTGGTTTCAGCTGTCTCAGAAACCAGCTTCCCAAGTTGGAGACCGTGTCCATCTTAGCTGGGTTTTCACACCTCAGTGCTAGCACCTGCCGTCAGACCACCACTCAGCACCAAAAACAATCGCCAGCCCCTCACTGAGGTTTTAAGTTCTTGTGGCACTCTGCAGGGGACAATGGCCTTGACTTCTTGGTTGGAGATTTAAAAAAAACAACAACAGCATTTAACATTTTAAAATTGGGAAACAAGTCCAGATGAGGTTATAAACTTTTCTATCTGAAGGCACAAAGAACAAAGTTGGCAGGTAGCTGATAAAACCAGGCATATATAAATACAGTTTAAAACACTTAAAAAGTATAAATATTTGTGTATTTTTTTCCTCCAGTCAGGCTGTTGCTGAAAATACCTGCTAGTTCCACTTGGTAACGTGATTTCTGAAAGATGACTGCTGGAACCTTTGACGCTCAAGAAGACATAAAGAGAGTCACCTTAATTCATCAAAAAGGTCATCACAAAGGGCATCGTTGCCCGAAATTCCATAGAGTTGCCTGAAAACTGAAATAACTTAAGGCAGAATTTCTTTAAATATTTAGGTAGTTCAAATCTAAACAGAATGGCCTGATAAAGTGCAGATACATAATTATCAAACATGTACAAGAATAATACATGACGTGCGAAAAGAGACTGCAGAAAGGGCTGGCTCTTTTGCTAGTTAAAAGTTTCAAGAATTTTCTTCCTTCGCAATTGCTGATGCAGGAGACACACAGCCTAACCGGGCAGCCTGAACTCCCAGGAATGGTTGTAAGATGACCAGATGAGGCATAAATTTCTTGCCTATTAATAGTTTCCCGGCTGTTAGAAGCCTACAGACATTGGCAAGCAAATGTGATCATAGGTTTTTCTTGTCCCAGGGCAGGAAT